ACTCGGTATGTCTGACTTCCATCCGCAAATCCGAGCCGATCTTGTCCACAATTGTTGGAGGGTGCTCCATCCTCCAAGATGAAGCCATTCTCAGAAGGCACGGCATTGGTGTCAGCCCAGAAGAAAGCATCAGGCGCTGTTCCATCATAGCCAAAGCCGCGGACTTCCAAGACACGGTCAGAAAGAGCCACCACTTCACCAGTAATATCATGGGCGCGGTCCGTGAAGGTTCCGAGAACCAGCTCGGCGGAAGCTGACGGTGCCAAAAGACTCGCAATGAGAGCCATCCAGGGGACGGAGTTGAAGATCTTCATGGTCGATTCGTTGTTTGTGTTTGTGTTTTTGCTTGTTGTTTTTGTTTTTGCTTTTGCTTTTGAAGTTCTGCTTCGAAAGATTGTGATTGCTTCAGTTGGTTTTGCTGCTGTGGTGCCTCGGTCCGATCTCGCTTGGGATCTTTTAGTCGATCTTTTAGTCCTTCAGAGGACTAAAAGATCCCAAGGAGCGAATCAAAGCCTTCTCGGGCACCAAAGCAAAGTGTTCGAATGTTGCTCGAGTGACAGCTTGGAGCGTGAAACTTGGATCCAGAAGCAGAACCTTGGATCTTGGATCGCTGAAGCAGGATTCAAGTGGCTCGAGAAAGATTATTTGTGGGCAGTTGGGATTTAGAAGCACCAAAGATATTTACGAGAATCGGGCCAGTAATGTACCAGTCCCCTTGTTGTTTTACGTTATGCAGGTTTCCGTCACCCCAAGCGGTACCGGTAGTTGGAAGAGCTGTTGATAGTGATGACAGCAAGACAGAAACACTGGTATTTTCTGGCGATGGAGTCAGTAGCCCAACAACTTTGGGCGCTATGGCGCTTAGGCGTTCAGGTTCCTTCGTGAGAAAGATGCGATGAGAGTGGGTGGGTTTCTGCGTGAGTAAAGTTTTGGATCTTCCACAACCTGCTCGTGCGCGATAGCTACCGGTAGCCTGGTTTGTGGTGGGGTCGAAGAAGCGTGTGATCTATTTGCTCGGGAAGGAAGTGAGCTTTTGCTGCTCCACTCGGGTATTCAGGTTTCTTCAACAGATGAGATGCTGTTGGGTTTCTGCGCGGGTGCAGTCCAAGCTTTTTGTGTTCCGCACTGGCTAACCTTGCTTGTGAGCTATTGCTACACCACCTGCACGGGTGAAGTGGAAGCTTCCATAGCTAGCTAGCTATAACGTTGCTTGTAGTAATCATGATAGGCGTAGCAGTCGAAGAAGAAGTGGTAAAAATCAAGGAAGATTGGGCAACTAGAAATACAAAAGATAAAATACAGGAAGTTTCACACGTGCGCGTGGCCACAGACCCACGGCCCACGAGCTAGAATGTCTCCATCGTAATCGCCGTTCCAGTGATCACCGCCGCCACCTGCTCA